TTGCTGTGAGCAGTGAAGCCACAGCACTCTACCCAGGGGGGACAGCTTGAGGCTCTGTCTCAAAATAAAAAAAAATAAAATAAATAAAAAAAAAAAAGCTTAAGGAGAACTATGAGAAGAAAGTCACTTTTTATAAATTCTCAATTACTATTTTCTCACATTCTGAATTAATTCATAAATAAAGAAGATGAAGTCTGTGTGAATCACCTGAGTCTAGTGAACCAGATTATTCATTTTACATACATTGTCTTTAAAGGCCAGGGTTGTTTTATGGCAGCTAGAATGTGCTCAAAGAAATGTAGTGAAATAAAAAAAAAAAGTGAAAATAAAAAATAAGGCCATAAAAATAAAATTTCTAAGTAATATGGCTTAAATAATCTGACTTTGGTAAGTCAAAGATCTACCTCTTTCATTTATACAAAACATACCTACCTTTTGTCTTCAACTTTAAGACAAGTTACTTCCTCTTGACTATGCCTAGCTAGTTCATTGTCTAATGCTTTGCCTTCCATTCTTCAGTAACTCCTTACATTAGTATTTCTTGCTTAATCTAACACTTTCTAAGAAAAATCAAGGTCTGACAGGTGGGAAGAACCTCACCACATCAAATTCTTTCATATTTAAATATCAATATTGGCACTATCAAAGTACCTGCTATTCAGAGTAGATTATACTGAACAACACGCACCTACAGCTCCAACTTGCCACTCTCCTAACAAAGACTAGCTTGAGACAACAGATATTTGAAAAGGAAAAACCCACAGACACTCTAACCATTCAACCCTCTAAGTCTCTACCTACCACGAAGTATACTTTTGCCTTTCACAGAGGAGTTATAAAAGGGCATCCTAGGAAGACGTTTCTCTGTCTTCTTTTAAAACTACCAAGTATAGTGTGTATCATGTTGTTTTGATTCTCTTGTTTAAAAGTAAAATCCCTGTGAGAGTTTACTACTATTAAAATGTTTGATCACCTATCCACTTTGTCTTCCCTGTCATGAAACTCAAGCTGAATTTTATGCTCAATGCACAGCAGCTGTCCTCAGCCTTGGGTTTTTGGCATACTTCTTCCATTTTTCTATTGCTTTCATTGTAGACCCCTAGAGTGTCTTCCTTTTTTCACTTTTTATGACAGTCTAATAATATGTTTTCTATTGAGATTACTTCAAAATCTTTTTTGAAAGAGATGTAAAGATTTTTTAAATTTAATTACCTCCCATTATTACTATAGATTTGTCCTCATTGTCCCCTCTCCCCCAAACTCTACTCTCTATATTCCTGCTGCATATGCTCTTCACCCAGAACACAATTCTAGCATCGATGACTTCTCCCAGTGTCCTGAGGTTGGATGAACTACTCATTTGGCCCCTAACATTCTTGCGCAATACTAATTTTTTCACGTACTTTTGTTTTATCATGTGCATTGTCTTAAGCTCCTCAAAGACTGTGAGATCACAGTGGACAGAGAGTATACCTTACACATCTTTATATCCCCACCAGCATCAAGACAAGCCTTGCACACTACAGATAGATATGCAGTGAAGATATGTTCTGTTAATGGAAAAACTAAGATGATACTTTTGAAAGCCCACTAGGTGAAGCCATGTGGTAAGTAAAAGGCTGAAAATGAGGTTTCTATCTTAAAGCAGTTTATAATCCTAAAACTG